ATTTCACCGCTCCTCTCCATCGACAACATCCGCTACAACCAACACCGCCCTGGCAGAACACTCCAGTCGACGCCACGTCCCCGCACCAAACCGCCCCAACTAGCACCGCAGGTCCAAGTTCACAACGGCGTCCACAGAACCGCAACCTTCCCCCCTCCTGGTTGGCACAGACACCAAATGTAGTGAACGAGAACACAAGTGGGAACAATCAATTGTATTTGAATACAAAATTACAGAATCTCTTAGTAAAATCTGAGAACCATACAGTAAATGTTTCATTTGCAAAATGTCAATCAGTTGTATCAAACTTGACTGATTCTTCTTTTCCATACCAATCACTCTCTGTTCTTTTTCTTCTCCTTCGATCTTCTTAACATTTTGCCGCCAGGTATTTCACTTTCGATTGATGATACATACTACTTATATTTGTCGACACCAGTAGCACACACCACAGCGTTACTGAATAACAGAATTAAATAAGTTAAATAGAAGAGTGAAGTTTTGAATATGTACATTTTATACAACCGTTTATCAGAACAAACAATCAGAGGGACGAAGAGAAGGAAGCGAAGAGGAGAGAGCGAAGCGAAACGAAATGATGCGTGTTGGAGAAGGTATGTAAGCCAACTCACTTCAATTAAGTGTTACTCAATATTTATAGTGAAATTGAATGGAGGCGAAGAGAGGTAAGGAAAAGGTTAAGCGAAGTAAGATAAAGCAAGGCGAGGCAAGGTGAATAGTTAACAAGGTCGAAATTTAACTAGAGAAGGAAGAATCAATTGGCCTATTCGGAATCTAGACTAACCCATCTGGGCTCAACATGGGACCAGTCACTACAATCAGACAGTTGAATTCCAGTTTTATCATTCTTGACATGTGAATGTCAGAATTATATATTCTATTCTAAAACGTTTTACAGAAAGATATTTAAATGATTTTACAACTGTGCATGATTGATGGCTTAACTAGAAACATACCCAAATGCCCTGGTACGGCCGAGAAAGGGGAGAGTCCGCTCTACCTCTCGAAATGCTTTCACATGAACAGGCGTATATAGCCTCTGCCAGGGAAGACCTACTCACTGCTTTCTCGTGGCGGGGGTGTTGCTTACCAACTTGAGAAAACAAAAAGCGAATGTCCGGCGCTTTAACCAGGTTGGTGGACACGGTGAGTTCACCTAAGGAAGTTGGAAAAACCTCATTCCAAACAAATGGTGCACATGGGCTCCAGTATCCTGAAGGAACAAATGTCGCATGAACCAATCGGTGATCACCGGCTTCCATGGAACTGCATCTCCTTACGATGCTCCACTGTCTTGTGGATCAGACCTTCAGGTCGAAGGCTCCGGGAGTGGCCCCCTAAGAAATCCACCTGCTTCGGTTTGGGCACCCGGGCAGTATCACAGCCCTCATACATATCGAGTGAGATTTGTGTGGCGCATATGTATTTGGTACCTCCTTGTACCAATATCTATGTGTTAAAATAAATAAATAATAAATAGATCAGATATCGAACATACAATGAGGTCTCTCATTTATAATCAATATAGAATCTAATTCAAATACGAATCGGTTCAAGTTGTCACATCTAGTCAGTACAATGAGATGTGAATTATCAAAAGAAATCCCAGAATAGTAGAAGTATCAATATCGATGATACTAACAAATTTAGATAATAGTTAATATGATTCAACAAGAAAGAATGAGTTCATGAGATAAAAATTACGAGGTAATTGTTATGCTCACCATCTAATGTGTCCAAGTAGTTGTCACAATAATCTCACGGTACCCAATCAGTTAGTCTACCCCTAACAGCACTAACGTAAATTGTTCTAGTAATTTCAGTAAATTAAAATCATATTATAAATTTAATTAAACAATCGTACTATACTTTTGCATTATTTACTATTTAAACTGCCTTCGGCTGTAAGATAGATGCAGACAACTAAACGAAACTAATGATACTAAATAATTAGGTCATTAATTAATAGCCTGAATTATATCACACAGATATAGATTTCCTGATTGAAATGTTCAAATATAGATTAGTGATACTGTTTTACATATTATTTATCTACACCGAAATATTGAGCGACAGAGTAGCATCCCTCATGTTTGGATTTCCAATTGCAGGTGAATAGTTATTTCAACTACATTGTTTTGAAAATTTCTTTCACTTTTTTTGCTGTGCCGTAACTTCGATCGATATACAGTTGCATTAAGTTGCATACAACTGACCTACAAATCTTCGTATACAAATCTCGTCCAATCTGGATTAATAATTAATGAAAGTGGTTTTCTCTCTTATTAGGACTAAGTAATCTGGGTAAGTTAATTTCACATCTGTAGGGAAGCTAATCTCAGAGTCTGCTCAATGACTTCTAACATAGTCTGTTTAGGATATTCACCCATTCATGATAAAATAGATAACCTGATGTACAACCGTTACAATATCCAATGGTTTAAAGTTAGTCTGAACTAAATGTTTCTTAGTGTAGGAACCTGTGCAGACTGATAAACTTCATAGTTCCACATTACAAACTGACTGGAGCAAGATATTTATTTGAAGTCACGAAGCACTCGATGGCTGTCTGGTTCTATTATAGGGATCCTGCAGTGGCAATGTGTATCCACGACCCCACTAGGGAACGAGCCTAGCTTCTGAAATAAATAATGTTCCATCAGTCAGTTAAAGTTTTTAACAAGGTCATCTAGGTTGTTAGAGGTGTGTGAGCGACCATTACTTCTCAGTTTCATACATTGTGGAAGTGTAGTTTTCGAAATACCAGGAAGCGGAACTAGATTCGTAGTGTTTATGGTGACCTAGGAGCGTAACCGCAGTGCTCAAGGGACAGGTACCTGAGGCCGGTCACACATGGCTTTTCTGCAAGTTCTTTATGTATTAGCTTCATATTTTAAAGGCTTTAAGGTCGAAGAAAAAATCCATGGGTAAGATGGTGTGGTATTTTAGGGTCAACTTTATCCGACCTTTCCCGTCATAGGAAAACAGCATCACTACAGATGTTAGTCGTCTGAAGGAAATACCTTATTGGTGTTACACTTCAGAATAGTTAGCAGCATGACTTTTTCCTCGGACCTAACATTACCGCTTTTAGTCTAACCGATATTCCTAGCATGTTACGTCCTAAAGGAATGTGTCCTATTCATTATTGGCTCAATTCGGTTACCACAATAAACAATCCTGACCACCATATTAAAGCAACAACAATGATCTTCAATTAGTGTAATTCATTTACCAAGCACAAGTTTATACACGTTCGGCTTTGAGTTGCATACTTTTGGTATGATAAACAGCGATACTTTTACTTAGCAGCTCTAACCGAACCTTGGACCTACTTAGTTGAAAATCAATTATGTACATACTTCGATTTCAGTATTAAACTTTACTGATTGAATTATCTTATCAGTAGATGCAGAAAATTAATACATTAATGTGTCATCCAGTAAGCAAAATTGTTCCAGTCAATTCAAACGATATATTTATTACCATAAATTGATATTTGATTTAAGAATATAAAACACATAATTATGACTGTATATTTTGTGCACAATTAAACAATACAATGAATTCATAGTCGAATCATTTAAAACAGCAACGAAACACACAAAATAAATCAGTAGTAAGTGTTTCAGTAATGATTCATTGTAACACAAAGACATACACATAAAATATTATAATAAGTTTAATTGGGAAACAAGCGATGATAATTCCAGAAATCGAAATACACACAAGTAAGTAAGATCCATTTGTTATTAGTTTGTATCTTTATTCTTCATGTATTTACGATTGATGAATGGACAAAATCGAACAAACAAGAGATTACATGAAAAAGGTGTATGCATGTGTGTGTGTGTGTATGTATGTGTGAGAGAGAAAGAGAGTCGAAAGTAAGAAACAGTAATACCCTATTCCTTTTTTGCTTTAGAATAAAAATCCGAATTATTATGAATACGGATTCAGTGAGTTCTCGGATGTCATAACACAAAGTATTCAAATATGATAAATACTGTTATATGTTATTGACAACTTGAAAGGATAGAAATGTAGTTCACAAACAGAAGAAATAACATATTAGCATTAGAGCAAGAAATATACTCATTGCTAAGAGATATATGATTACTATTTTAAGTATGAATAATAAGTGTGTTATCGTAATGTTAAACAGAATATATCATCATAATCTTAATAACAACAACAATTATAAGTCGATGATTCGTGAAGTTTAAGTCTGATATAAGGGCCCAACTGAGATTACAACTCTTATAATTGATAGGACAAATGATGAAAGAATGTGAATTTGATGAAATATTAATTTTCAGATGATGTTTACGTCATATTCTAGCTCTGAAGTACACAATCTTATTCATTATCCATCCATACACATATGCACGAATAGCAATGGTAAAAGTTGATATAATCACCTTTCTTAACAATTACAAAATAACAATAAAACAGTTTTTTTATATTTTAATGAACAGAAAATTGAAGAGAAGAATAGGGATGATCAACAACGCACACATATAAACACACAGAGACACGGAAAAAGAAAAAAGATGGGAATAATACTTCATTCATTGTAATACTCATTTGTATGTGAGTGTGATGTAATTATATTTGTCTTTTTATGTTTTGGAAATTATTCAGAACGTTTATTCAGACTTATTATTTTTTATGAATCTCTATTACCGAAAAATGATAGAATAATTAAGAATAAATTGACAACATCCAAGTATAATTGTAAAGCACCAAATATATACTCTTCTGCGCTAAGTTCCAACTCTCGTCCACCGATAATATGTTGTGTATCAAAAGCCAGATACTGAAAAAAAAATTACAAATATACACAATAAACTCAATATATAACTGAGAAATATTGAAAAATGATGCACAAACTAGAATATTATATATTAAATTGTAACTCTGAATCTCGCTCTATTTTAAGTTGCCCTAGTGGTCTAGAGGCATGATACTCGCTTTGGGTGTGAGTGGTCCCGGGTTCGAATCCCGGCTGGGCCCATACTTTAGCCCCAAAATGCCCTGGTATGGCCGAGAGTGGGGAGAGTCCGCTCTCTCTCTCGAAATGCTCTCACACGGCCACGCATATACAGCCTCTGACAGGGAAGTCCTACTCACTGCCTTCTCGTGGCATTACTGTTGTTTACGAAAATGAGAGGACGAAAAGCGAATGTCCGGCGCTTTAACCGGATTCCAAACCAAACCAATGATGCACATGGGCTCCAGTATCCTGAGGGAACAAATGGCGTATGAATCAATTGTTGGTCACCGGCTACCATGGGACTGCATCTCCTCACGATGCTCCACTGTCTTGTGGATCAGACCTTCAGGTCGAAGGCTCGGGGTGTGGCCCCCTAGGAAAACCACCTGCTTCAGTTTGGGCACCCGGTCAGTATCACAGTCCTCACACATATCGAATGAGATTTGTGTGGCGCATATGTATTTGGTGCCTCCTTGTACCAATATCTACGTGTTAAAATAAAATAAAGAAAAATAAATTTTAAGTTTGGTGAACAAGTCAGTCGAATGGTAGCATTGGTGTCCAACACATACAAAAAAAATCCAATCCAAAACTGAGTATTTATAAATCTGTATTTAGCGAACTCCAAGGGGTGAAATTCCACCCCACCTATATTGATTTTAGAAGCGAAATGACGTGATAAACATACTTTTAAACTTAAAATATGAGAATATAGGATTAGAATTATTAGTTTAAACAGTAAAGAATTAGATTATCTAGCCGTTATGCAATGAAGATTACTATATCGTTGACCAATGAGAGTTTGAAAAACATGTACATTCTCTTGGTACTGAGCACTAACAAGAAAATCACTTAGATCAAGAATTTCCTGTCAATACATTTTTCTTTCAATAAACCACGTTTGAAACAGTTTGTACGAAATAGAATTAGAAGCAAAACTGTAAATGCTTACATCGAGTAAATTACATATTAAAACGTCTCTGATTACATTGTATTTTGTTGTCCTTAACAATATTAGGCAACTAACAGCTCACTTAGTATAGAAAGCTAAGTGGCTGTAAGGAGTGGATGTTTTAAAGAACTAAGATTTGGTAACCACAGTGAGAATTACTCTCAAAAGAAAAGTTAACAAATCAATAGAGCTCAGTAAAAACAAGTGTAAACATACCACACCAAACAACAAGGCTGCGAGTCCACCATAAACGACTTGCAAAATCTAATTGAAGATAAGTGAGAAAAATACATATAAATATTGGTTATTTGAGAACTCTTTTTATGGATTCATGTTCACCATACTATAGGAAAAAGATATAATTTATTGAGGAGTATCAGAATAGTAATATTTAAAGGAAAAAATTAGATGACTAACTGGACATATCTTTGAGCATAAACATTGACAGAACCATGAAATATAACACAAGAAATAATGTAAGTTATTTGTTACATACAGGTTGGATTACCGAATGACCAATATTGAGGTTAGACTCATGGTACTAGGCAAAGATAACAAATCGGTAAGTGGGGTAATGAACCTGAACCAACTGAGGTGGTTACGATATGTATTATGAATGCTCAACCATCGCTTACCTCGACCCATGATGTTCGCCAGTGTAGGAATAGGTTAGAAGAAAGCACAGGGTGACTAAACCAGGAAGCGACATTACTCCATGAAGTTAATGACTGTCGGACTGAATCGTGTATGTAGATTCAGATTACCTGGTTGAGGTCAACGCGATAACTATGATCAAAATTATCTCACACATTTCTACTTCACGAATCCATTCTTTCTTTCCTAATTATACAATTCATGCCCAATCTTTTCTAATATCAATGATACTGTTACTACTTCCACTGCTGTTATTTATCGTTATAATCTTATTTCATCGTACTAAAATGTTGTGGTAACTTGAACCTATCCATATATGGGCCAGGTTCTATATTTCCTATGACTGATTGACCATATACAGATTTGTGCGCACCACCACACTTCAAATGTAAAAAAGCTTGTCATATACTATGCGGTTGTTCAAACTGAATTCGATGGATACAACTTCAAACCTATTGTCCAATACTTAGAAAACTAATTCTGTAACCCATAAATAACTGCTTAAATCAAACTGAAAACAACTGAATCAATACTTTGTTTTACATTGAAGCTATTCATTATTGGTATACAATTTCAACCTCTTTTCGAACAGAGTTAAGTATGGTTAATATGTCTAAACTATCAATTCACTGCTAGCTTAGCCATTAAATCAGAATTCATGAATCAGTATTGATTTTGAGATTTAATATACATACATAAATTGATATATAACTCAAATTCAATGGTATAATGTTCACACTTAAATTTACTGCGCTTACTATGTTTCGATTAAAAAAATATTCAAAATAATTGGTTAACATTTCTCGCTATATTTAATCTTTGTTTGCTAAGTAATAACTGTTTGTTGCCTACGCAACTTAAAAAGTTAACAAATAAAAAAAACTATGATAATGATATATTTTGATTCCTTTTTTTTCATTCCACCATAATACCACATAACTATGTCCTGTTATTTTTAGACATAATGGCAATGCAACAATTTATTAATGAGGTCGCTTATGTACATTGTTGTTGATGAGTCTTGTATCAAGATGATATAATCAATCGGTGTCTTCAGGTTTATGACAGAGTTGTTGTCTAGATAACGTCAGTTTATAATGTAAAACTACAAAGTGAACAATTTACACAAAATCATCCATACTAATGATCACTACTTTATATCATTATTAGAAAACATTTGAATTATTTTGTTGTGTATATTAACGATTAAGGTTTTTTGGTATAAATACATCCTGTGCAGAATGCCTAGATAGAGTTATTTGTTATAAATGTTATAGAATAAATGGATTATTTAAAGTGAAAGACATCGGGTTCGAGTCTCAGTGTGAAAATCAACACTGGGATACAGTTGTATCCAACTAATTAGTTCCTAAAATGAGACGAACATCCTAAATTCGATTGCTAGCCATAGTCTGTTTAAACTATGAAGTAACCATTTGTATTGATCGTCTGAATCTATCCATTGATGTTTAGGAGTACAATTGATCAGTCTCTTTTGGCATAATGTACATCCTGTAGGAATTGCTTCGATATCGCCTTAAATTACAAGCATTATAAGCAGATATGGATAGTAGTGGCTAACAAGGGGTCCAAAAAGCGCATTTCATCCTATTCGGGACTCTTCAGCTGGGCATACCTGCAGTCAATTCTTAGAGTGAACATCAACTCTGAGATGCAAGTACATCCAGTTGACGAGCCCCATATAGGACGAAACGAGGGTCCTGATATCCACTGCTAGCCACAATTTACTTCTACTTATGAAATAATCTCTCTTCTTTTTGTGTGTAACGCACAATCTTATTGTTCTATTACATGAAATAAATTAAGCATATTATGAATACAATTCAATGATTCAAAATATTAAAACTTACCCGATTCGGTCCGGATACAGCAAAAACAATGATACAAGCAAGTCCAGTTAACATTACCACAATACTTAATACAAATATTAAAGAAGTACACTTTGTAATATCAATTCGTGTTTGTATAGCAAAAACAGAAATCGCTATACATAGACAAGCTGTTATAACAACAGCAACTAGAACAGATTGAGTGTCATAAAATGATGTAATTGTACCCGTCATATAAGAAAATGCCAGTGTCTGAAATAAATAAACAGTTAATGGCAATAAGAAATAATAATAATGATAACAAAACATTCAGGCAAAATGTGAATCTACAAAGGTAGTAGTAACACTGTTGATTGGAACGTAGGTAATGGTGGTATGGTTGTTACCCTAAGTATTTGTATAAATGCTTTCATCAGTATAAATCAAAAATAAAAATCCTCTAATACTTGACTCGAACTACTACTTATTTTAAGTAATATTGGTATGATATTATATGGCTTAATCGCTGGTAGTCGGCTTTATAGTTAAAGCACAAAACTTTCGACTAATAGGTCATAGGTCCGAAGCCCAGATCATCACCTAATATGAGCGAATAGTATCATTAATTGTTATCATAGGAACAGTTTAATTCGAATTCGAGTAAATTAAATAATACTTATTAAATGAGTTACTGTCTAGATTGGTTGATATATACATTCATACAAGTTGTTACTTGGTACGAATCAATAATAATAAAGTCAATATTTGGATCTATCAATTAAGACATTATTTTACAGTGCTTAGTATTCAATAAACATAAAAACACTGAAGCTATGTTAAACTTTATGATACTTATTTATTATTCAAAAAGATACACCTTTAACTGGTTACTCTTTATAAGATCTCTTAATTGTCGACTTGAAATATGAATACAATAGTCTTACTATAGCAACAATATTGTGAAAGTAATACTCCCAGATATCTTCCCAGATTTTGCATATATGGAGTAGGTTACATTTACTTTCAGTCCAATCATAGGAAATGAAATTATTCAACTGACTAATTGTTTTACGTTACTAAAATAATTCAAGGTTAAATATAGATTTCGAGATTGAAATAAATCGAATTAGGCATAGAGAAGAGGTTTCATAAGTTTATAGTTGTTCACTTTATTCAAATGCACATATACTGTCCTCATAAAATGACATGAGTAGAACTATAAATATAAAAATGTTACTTGTTTCATTAAGAATACACCTGGTTATAGAAACAGAGTTGATCATTTGTCTGTGAACACATTCAGGAAACAGTAACAATTATTAATTTTATAGCCCCAAATGCCTTGGTATGGCCGAGAGTGGGGAAAGCCCTCCCTCCCTCTCGAAATGCTCTCACATGGCCACGCATATACAGCCTCTGCCAGGGAAGTCCTACTCACTGCCTTCTCGTGGCGGGGGTGTTGTTTACGAAATTGTGAGGACGAAAAGCGAATGTCCGGCGCTTTAACCGGATTCCAAATCAATGGTGTGCATGGACTCCAGTATCCTGAGGGAACAAGTGGCGTATGAACCAATTGTTGGTCACCGGCTTCCATGGGACTGCATCTCCTCACGATGCTCCACTGTCTTGTGAATCAGACCTTTAGGTCAAAGGCTCGGGGTGTGGCCCCCTAAGAAAACCATCTGTTGAGATCTGGGCACCCTGTCAGTATCACAGCCCTCACACTAATCTAATGATTTATGTGGCGCATATCTATTTGGTGCCTCCTTGTACCAATGTTTGTGTTTAAATAAATAAATAATTAATTAATTATACCCCTTAAAGCTTTATGAACTATCAAGATATTTTAGTTGAAATGAAAGCTCTATGGTTAACGATGATATACCAAGTACATATATCTTGTAACTTCTATATTACAATATAGATCTAACTACAGAGTCAATGACTGTTAAATTGAGCCATATCAGTAGGGTCCTCATGATTATCCTAACCAATAGTTGATGTTGGGTGATATGATTCAAAATCGGTCACAATAATGCAGATTCACTAACACTGTATCTTCCTTAAAATTTTCAGTTGTAAAACAACTTGATCTTTTTCTACCCTATGAATCCATTCCTTCCTCTCAAAGCATATTATCTACACTTGCCTAATGTCTTCTTCTTCTTCTAATACTACTACTCTGTTTTTATAATTTCATCTCATCGTGTTGAGATGTTATGGCAACTTGAACTGATAGAAATATTTCTTAAATTCTACGTTGTTTATGATTAATTGATTGAATGTCGATTGAACTAACATAATATCTCTACAGACTAATTAACACTATGAATTATTCTGCATTATTAACAAAATGATGAGATGATTTATGAGAAAAAATTTAATTAACAACTATGATTCTATTCTACTTAACTACTATTAAATAAATATCTACATACTAGAAAGTTTGTAGATTTATACAAAACAAAGATGTTTTTGTTTTAAAATGAAAAAGAAAAGAAAAAGAAAACACTTACAAATACAGATAAAGCGATCACATTTCCAGGATATCGTCGTCTTACACTGGGACAACAAACCAATGCGATATAAGTGCATAAAAATGTAGCACTAATGTATAAAATACAAAGAGAAATCAATAAATTCAATTAACACAATTGAGAAATTTAAAATTAGGGAAAAAAAACTGTTTCAATGGAAACACAAAGTGAACAGGTGAAAACATTACTGGTATTTAAGATAGTTTTTGATGTTAAAAATTGTAATTGATAATTGATATTATTGTTACTCATCTACTAAATATAAATTTACTCTACTGGCCCCATTCGGTCACATTGTTTATGTGAGAGTTTGTGATATTATTCGGATACATGAAATCGAAGTAGATGTAATTGGGTTCGTAAGGTGAGTTTTTAAACTATTAGATCATATTCAGTATTAATTATAACTTCAGTACAATTTAAAGTGATTAAGTGATACTTTGTTAGAGTTTTATATCACACAAAACCAAAAACTTGATCGACGAGCGTTAGTGGGATACAAACCTGTCTATTGCATGCTCTGAACAGACTCAAATCAAAACACGCTGATATGTCCATTTCCAAACAATGCATCGGGATGTTAGGTTTTTATATAAAAAGTCTATAAAAAATATGTTTTTACCACCTAGATTTTTGTTATTTGAGTTTATGTACCATTCCTCAATTCATGTTTTGATTTGAGACGATTCCAGTGAAGTATCATGATCAGGGAATACTGGGGAATAGGAGAATATTACGAAGTTATATTGTTGATACGATACAAAGTTGAACAAACTAGCTATGGGTTTTGTATAAGAGTAGAAGACTGATAAAGACATATTTTAACTCACTGAGGAAAATGTTGCACAATAATTAGCTGTACAACATAACCATCTTGCGTTGATTATTAGTGCACATGAAAGCAACGCCTAACATAACACCAACCTATGGTCTGTCTAGGGTTACTGCCGGTTCAAAGCTCAGGTAAAAGAGGGGGCTTGGGCATGGAGTTAGCAACCTAATCTAGTAGAAAACGACCTTGGTAAAAAAAACCCAACCAGGAGAAATCATTTAAATTCTCTCTTGGTAGTTGAAGGACCTTCATTCTGAAGAATTGTGATGCCTCATGATGAAAGCCGACATTCTTCGGAAGTTATGAGGGCGATGCCTCTTCTAACAACCAGAGCAACGACTAATATAGGTACATGGAGTGTCCAGACAACGCGAGACTGAAAGGACCAGTCAAATAGTTACTGAAAGAGGAGATATGATTTGTTGGTGCTCGGAATCAGTGAAACCCATTGGACCCAAGCTGGATAGAAAAGGTCAAGTACGAGAGAGATGCTAGTGTACTCCTATCACGAATAGGAAAATGCGCCACAGACTCAGGGAGCTGCTTTGATGTTGTGCAAAGAAGAACTAAATGCCTTGTAGGATAGGAATCTCATGGACCCAAGATCATCAAAGCATCCTTCAAAACAAAGGAGAAAATTACAATGAATGTTATCCAGTGTTGCGCACCCACCAATGACAGCAACGACGATTATAAAGATCAGTTCTATGAGAAGTTGCAATTAATCGTAGCGAAGTGCCCAGGAAAGGACCTAACCATTCTGATGGGAGGCCTAAACGCCAAAGTCAGAATGGACAACACCGGATATGAAGTTATCATGGAACGACATGGACTGACTAGAAGAAAAGAAGCAGAATGGTGACAGATTCCCAAATTTACGTATGTTCAACAAAATGGTTATAGGCGGCACAATATTCCCACACACAAAGCTAAATGGGTCTCACCAGATCACACCACACAGAACCAGATAGATCATATTTGCATCAATAAAAATTTCAGAAGCTTCATGGAAGAAGAGAGAGCAAAGAGAGGAACTGACACATCTTCAGATCACCACCTGGTGGTTACCAAGATGAAACTAACGCTAAAGTAGCACAGGACTACTGGGGCAACATCATTACAAAAGCTCAATACAGCCTTCCTTCGACATACTGACAAACTCAACGAATTCAAGATAGTTCACAGAAACAGGTCCCAAGCCATACAAGATCTACACAAAGAGGAAACCATTATGGAGAACAACTAGAAAGGGACCAGAGAAGCATTCACTTCAACATGCTAGATGATGAGCCTCAAGAAATATCATCGCAAACAATGGATCCCCATCGACACCCTGGATACGATTTAAGAAAGCAAGAACAAGAAGACAGCAATCAACAACTGTCGAACAAGGACAGAGAAATTCAAGACACAGACCGAATACACGGAGGCAAACAACCGAATGAAGAGGAGCATTAGAACCGACAAGCGAAAATATGTGAACGACCTAGCAATGACAGCGGATAAAGCTGAAAGAAGGAAATATGGGAGAGCTACATGATACAATGAAGACACTAGGAGGGAAATATAGTAAACCAAAGCGACCAGTCAATTTACAAAAAAGGAAAGCTAATCACTGAGGTCCAAGAGCAGCGGGACAGGTGGATAGAACACTTTGATGTGCGCTTCAATAGACCAGACCCATTGAGCTAACCTGGCATCGAACAAGTGTCAGACAATACTGTTTAATTTCACCATTTCTCTTTCTTCTGGTGGTTGGCTGGATTATGAAGACCTCCATACTTCGTGGGGAAGCACGGAATATAATGGACAGCTTGGATGCAGCTAAACGATTTAGACTTCGCAAATGACCCAGCTCTTCTGCCCAAACACAGCAACAAATGTAGGTGAAGACGGCAGTGTAGCAACAGTTTATGAAGCAATAGACCTCAGCATACACAAGGGAAAAAGTGAGGTCTTAAAATACAATACAGCGAACACCAAACAAAATACACTTGATGGAGAAGCTCTGGAAGAAGCGGAAACATATAATTACCTGTCCAGTATCATGGATAAACGAGCAGGATTTGATGCAGATGTGCTGGCACGGATTGGTAAGGCAAGGACAGGATTCCTGCAGTTGGGGAACATCTGGAATTCAAAACAACTGCCAGCCAAAATCAAAGTCAGAATCTTCAATAGAAACATCGAGACGGTTCTATTGTACGGAGCTAAAACTTGGAGTTACTACAACCATTATCAAAAAATTACAGGTATTTATAGACAGTTGTCTATGCAAGATACTCCAGATCCGTTAGCAAGACACCATCAACAATGACCTATTGTGGAAGAAAACAAACTAGATTACAGTTGAGGAGGAAATCAGCAAAAGATACGAGGTGGATGGGTCACACATCGTGGAAATCAACAGACTAAATCACAAGGTGAACCCTGAATTGGAACCCTCAAGGCAAAATGAACAGAGGCAGACCAAAGAACATATTACGCTGCAGATTGGAGACAGGAGTAAAACGAATTAATAGAACTTGGGGCCAACTGAAATGGGGAGCTCAAGATAGAATTATTTCGAGATCTCTGGTTGGAGACCTATACTCTAAGAGAGGGAACATGAGTAAGCATAAAAACATAACTATAGTCTATCGGATTTCTGTTTACTTTGTTGATAATCTTCAACGTGTTTACAAAGCGGTTGTATGGATTATTTATAGTCATAGTAATTAACAAACGCTTTGATTTTTTTATCGCCTATGTTAGGTGTAACAATAATACATACCAGCGTAAAGTGTACTTAATTATCTCATGAATGATTTTTGATAAAGTATCAGTATTCACCATCAAAGTGTTGAAATAGGATGTTGACGGATGAATATAATAAACTAGTTGGGTGGTAGAGATAAATAATCACGGAGTAAAGAATTAAAATAACTGGTGAATATATACTAAAGGGTGGAATTACTGACTAAATGGTTAAGTAGATTCGTCATCGAATATACTTTCACTTATATACAGAAGGTAATATAAATATAAAACGTTAATGAATGGTCAGTAAGGACTGATTTGTGTTTATTTTATCCACTTTAAGTATTCCCTAAACCATATCTATTCTCCCTTAATTACAACAACTGAAATAACTGGAAACGAGTTCAAATGACTGCTAAACAGAATAGTGCTTCACTGGCTTCAGCAATCCATTTCATTTGACAACAACTTATTGTTTCTAGCAGAAATGATTTTGTTTTGATTGAGAAGTTTTGTGTATACTTTGAGTAGGTTACTGGATAAGAAACCAACAGTTTGTAATACGTTAGGTGGATGATGGGATGGGGTAACTGATAACGTATTTTACATACTACTAGGAAGAAATACTACGAACCAGTAAACTCGTCAGTAGAATCACTATACTGTTTGAACTAATAAATTTAATTCGAAATTCCGCTGACAGGAATATCTAGGCGTAATTTCTAATATATTTTCGTGGGTCATAGGGATTTAACGTCTATAAATTTACGAATCCATGGGGAAGGGGTCATTTAAAGTCCTTCAAAATACAGTATTGGTGGAATAAAAGGAAAAATGAGACTTATCTACATGATCATTTGAAGAGAAAAATTTAACTTACTAGGACAAATAATAAAACCATGAATTTTTTGAAACCCATTTTTTTACCGGCGGTCTGTTATAAAATGATAAAGATTTTTTAGTAAAATTGGTTTTTAGCTTACGAAAACAGAAAGACGCAAACAAATGCTGAAGTTACTAACAACTGAGCCGTTAAAATTAGATAGACCTAAAAATAACAAGCAGTGGGGGGAGATATTGTTAGTATGAATACACAGAAAACAACCTTTCGAATGAAAGCATGTCTAACATATTTATCAGAATACTGTAAGCTGGTAAAATTTCCATTGCGATTATATTTTGGCTCCTGATCCGATGGATTATCCTGATATCCTGCAGGCTCAGAGTACGGTCCAGCTGCAAATCCAATATTGGGATAAGGCGCTTAAATAAATAAAAACAAAGGAAAGGAACAAAATATTAGTTATTTATTTGGGAAAATATTCTGATTCAGAAATACAGTCACATGGATTATATTATGCTTGGTGTGAATATCAGTAATCATGTATGTATTCGGGTACCACAATTCAACTGCTATGTACCGTGTACATAACGACGACGTTATTCAACTTTCCACATGGAAGATGGTGTTTGGCTGAGTTTGAGAAATATGTTTCAACTATCAAGGTGTTATACTCCGATACTATTAGCCCTCCACTAGCTTTCCTCTTACCATGACACGACATAACGTACTGAGGAGACTGATAATCAATAAATTCGTGTTCTGTTGCTTTGTTCACATCATAGCCTAGGTAATTATAAAGACAATCTCTTAGATGAAAACCTTTACAATCAGAGCTACTTTTCTAAATATAAAATTGTACGAATATAGACCAGTATATAAAAGTATAAATCGATGATTAAAATATGACTGTAAAGACCAATACAAAGGCTAATATAAACCACCTGAATTGATATTAGCAGCACTTTCGTAAGGTGGTGGAGGATCTCTTGAATAGTTCATGTTTGTGCAAATGCGCTTCAGCAACGATATAAATGATCACCAAACTAATATCAGTAGAATCTACAAAAAAATCAAACAAGACATTAATAACTTTAAAAAACTACATGTGGAGTTGACAGTCTTCAAAAAATTAAACCATAACTTTTTACGCAGTAATGCCCACTCTAGACATACAGATGTAATAACGTAAAACCACGAGGTAAGTTTAAATTCAGTTTGCTAAACCTTACAACATAAGACAAAATTAAGAAAAATGAAAGGCCGCTAAAAGAATAAAGAGAATCTGAAAATGTTGTCAAATGGTAAATAAAATGTTCATTAGTCAGAAAACAGAGAGGACAAACCTGCCGTCAATAAGTCATGTTATAAAGAATCTAGTAATTTTTTATCGTCTCAAGAACACACAGGAGGTATACAGATCTCTCTTAAATAAATAACCAATCACCCCGAGGAATAATGTTTTTGTGTCAGTCCTTTTAATCGAAGCGATAATAGTATTTTCAGTAAATATCGTCATTTCACTCTATTTGTGTGTGGGTTGTGATACTGCCCGGGTGCCCAAACCGAAGCAGATGGTTTACTTAGGGGGCCACACCCCGAGCCTTTACCTAAAGGTCTGACCTACAAGACAATGTAGCATCGTAAGGAGATGCAGTTCCATGGTAGCCCGTTACTTATTTTTATTATTTATTTTAACACATATTGGTACAAGGAGGCACCAAATACATATGCGCCACACAAATCTCACTCGACATGTGTGAGGACTGTGATACTGAACGGGTGCCCAAACCGAAGCAGGTGGTTTTCTTAGGAGGCCACACCCCGAGCCTTCGACCTGAAGGTCTGATCCACAAGACAGTGGAGCATCGTGAGGAGATGCAGTCCCATGGAAGCCGGTGACCAACGATTGGTTCATACGCCATTTGTTCCCGCAGGATACTGGAGCCCATGTGCATCATTGGTTTGGTTTGGAATCCGGTTAAAGCGCCGGACATTCGCTTTTCGTCCTCTCATTTTCGTAAACAACAGTAATGCCACGAGAAGGCAGTGAGTAGGACTTCCCTGTCAGAGGCTGTGTACGCGTGGCCGTGTGAGAGCATTTCGAGAGGGAGGGAAGGCTTTCCCCACGCTCGGCCGTACCAGGGCATTTTGGGGCCATGTACCTGTAATCTTGAGGGGACTGCTGCTCTCTAACGGATTCGAACCCGTGCCACCCAGTTTCACAGTCAGAGACGTTACCACTGGGCTATCCGGACCGCAAACCTGTAAGCACCGGAGGACTATTTCGCCCTAATGTAGGACTCCTCAGCAGTGCACATCCACGATCCCGCCCGCGGGATTCGAACCTACGGCCCTGTATTCACTCTGGGCGGTGAGCAGATAGAAGTAATCGAAAGTTCGTGTAACATTAATATGAGTTACTCCATGATCCCAATAGAACTGGGGTACAGGAATAAGTCACCCTTGAAGAATCCCTAACGCTTAGTTGGGAACAACGCAACGTTTGAGATGAAAATTTATCTAGCTTTTATTCGATTTCAAAGTGTATAGGGGATTGGAATTTCACCATAGGACATCTAAGGAAAATTAGAAAATACAACCACGCGATTCTTCTAAAAACCGATATTGATGACTTAGATACATCTGCTTTTAGTCGGATATCAAGTTTCTACCATACACTAACACATTTACGCATGAATTTTCTTCTAGGTTTCGATCTAATAATTACTAGATGCAGGTAACTTACACTACAGATTAGGATCCAAAGATCACATACAATGTAAAATTTATATACAACAAATCTAAGGATGATAAATCTAACATTTAAGCAATGAACCTGGAGTAAATAGTCAGAACAAACTACACGCTTTCTAAACGATTAAAAAGGGTTGATACAAACTTCAAAGAAATCACAGCAACCATAGTAGCGAAATCTTAGTTTGTCCATATAATAAAATAACATTTCAGGGTGAGACTATAATTTATGGACGATCTTTCAGCGACGCCAAGGTGACCTCGAGTGTCTACCAACTTACCAGGGCTAAATGAAAGTTATAAAGCAGTTTGAATAAGGATTAGGATTTACAGTTGACGGTTAGGGTTAGATTTAGGGTTTTCATCACGAACTGACATCAGCTATAATGACAAGACTATTTAGCCATATGAGTAAACGAAATTCGTGCCAAAATCTTGACTGGTCCATCCATAAATTATAGACACCCATTTCAGCATTATAATTGTCAGTTCGAGATGAAAACCCTTACTAGAATCCCTGTCCACAATTTTTTGGCTCCAAATATTAACATCCTAACTTTTCATACTTATGTATAACCGTCTTTTAACCCTATTAAGTAGGTAAGTTGTCTCAACGTCACTCCAGCGGATCTCAACGACCACCCATAAATAATAGTCCTACCATATTAAAAACATAAACGTAGAACTAAGTATAAAGGTACGAATTATTTTTCCTTAAACAACCTGTGCTGTTGCAGGGAAAACCTTAGACTGATTACTAAGCATTCACGTTCTTTCTACTACTTATGAATTTGTATCTCAAGATATTGACGTTACAGCTACGATAACCCATGTTAACCATTCAACTGACTAGTGCTCACGCCAAGCGAAGGAAACTTTGACACAAAGCTTTCGAAGACATTTACTATATATTTCGAAAAACTAAAATACATAAGAGCGTGTATGGCTTACTAGAAACGAACAACCTTGAGATGACAAACTTCCCTCTAGTAAACTAATGGACTCGAAATCGATGTCCAAACAAGCCTGTTGTCATAAATCAGAGAAAATGAATGATAAGTAGATGTTGATTATTTATTTTGATCGAACTAAAATTAAATGTCCGGAATTGGAGGGTGTCTACAGTCTGTAGATGTACTGTCAAGAGACGTTCGGAAAACCACTCCTACGTTCACATTCGACAGGGACAGTTCACTCTGCTAGAGTATTAACTAGGGTCAAAAAAGGAAGAATTGTGGCGATTCCACTTATCCAAGAAACTGCCTGAATTTTATTTTTGATTGTCAACAGTGATAGCTAACAATTACCATAGGCTAAATTCAGATAATATTTTGGGATTAAAACTTGGAATAGAATGCATAATAAAGCAAGTAAACCAGATTGATCTACGGTCCATTTTGTGGTTCTGAATTAACTGCTTTATGATGGTTTCAACAGTACAGTATAGGCACTACTTACCTTCTGTTCATGGCATTATTTCTCGATAAAGTTTGCATCAGTTTAAAATCATATTTGTTGCTAGATCCAGTTTCGTTCAGCTCTCTAAACCCTAAAGAATCATATTTAGAGATTAAGCATCAGTGCAAGTTTTGGCAGTTTTACCCACTCGTTTCTCATTATTAATTCATGGACAAAAAGATATCTAGTTTCTGATTACCATTTAGAACCTTAGTCATAGAAACTATTAAATCAACAGAGCTTTGTGAATACGTGGCAATAGAGTTGGGTGCCAACAATATGTACAACAATTTTGCTTCGTACTGGTCATTTTGATCATTTTCGCCCGGATGTAAATATACGGGAATGAGCGGCTTTCAGGAAGCGACATATTACTTTCATCAAGTTAGTGGAAAAACTTAATTAACATTATATGATGACTAGAAGTATTTGAATTATTGTAATAACTAAGAATCCCCGAAATAGCTCAATTTAAGCCAAAAAGAATTAGGTTAACACCAATTAATGTGTTATGTTTGGAATTCGAAATCAGTAACATATTCAGTACAAAAGAATCATCAGTTCATAAAGGTACCACACACTATCTCTACGACCTTCGCCTAGCATGTGAAGGTATTTCTTCACTATTAGTAACGATACATGATGGAAAATGTGTCATAACACATGCATAACATTAAAAACCCGATGAGAAAGTCGGTTAATACCCATTCTCACATACTGTTGTTCACGAACTAAAGATTGTGTCAGCTTAGCAACTACACAGTGTTTGATATATAATTAAATGCCCAAATAAAATAAAATCTAAACTCCATGCTGAACTACTGTCGACTCCAAATAAATGTTTCACAACCGGTTATATATCAGTAGCAAACGAGCCATTAAAAATTTCAGTCAAAAATATTTAAGTGCTCACCACATAAAACTAATCTCATCCTGGACTAGTTATTGTTACGATCCGTTTTATTTAGCAACCATAAGAAGACACCAAATTCTATATAAACATGGAGAGTTCATTGGTTCATCATTTTGCATTTCTTCTACTGTTTCGTAGATCAGCGCTTGTTTTTCGCTTTTCAGTCGGATGGGTTACCTTTTGTTTTTGTACTAGTTGTGTTAATTTACATTTCAGATGGAGATTATGATTGCTGACTGAATACATAGTTACTTGTGTTTGGCAATAGTCTAGCTAAGACTGTACGACAGTATCAGAATGTATTCAGTAAATTCGCCTGTTTGCGGGTTAAATCACACTCCAGGCTCACAGAAAAATATAGATTACTTTGTCATACACACTGCTGAGGCTAACAGTATTTGGGTTGGAACCGAATCACAGTTTGGTTGCATTGCCTCGTCTCAACCGTCACTGGCAGCTCTTGTGCACCGTCTCGTCGGGCGGATTTTAAGTCTCCACCCTGGGTGCTACCCGACGTAGTAAATTTCTGTCTCTCACTGCACTTAATAAATCGGCAAGTCGCTAGTGAATGAACTAAGCTTAATTGCTCATGCTAATTTTCATTAATTTTTGAAACGATATCTCGATATTCTACTTGGTTTACTTACTTACATATGATCCCAAGGACAGTGTGAGTTATCCCTTAAACTAGAATCACTATTGCTTTTTTTTAGGTAACTACTCGTGAGGAGGTTGAGGCATATACCTAAAAGATATGCAATATAATAATAGTACTTCATTGGTATGTTCTCATGAACTAAACGGAACCCAGAATCAAAGTTGATAAGCAGCAAAAATCAATGAAGCCAATATCTCGAAGATAAGTGGTTCTGTA